ACGCACTGTTGTTGTTGCTGTTGTGCGTCAACTCCGTTTTGCAGAAAAGAGCATAGCCCGTCCGTACTAGAGACACATTTAATGCAAATGTATGCAACTGAAAAGTTATAAACAAATTTAATTTATGTACATGGAATTTAAAAGTTCAAGTTCATGGTATTTGATTTAATTTTAGAGTTCTTTTTATTATTGAGGCTATTACTTGTGGCCGTAAATTGGCACCAATGTTACGGTGGCGTATACGCAATGCCGCATATTCCGTTGGTTGCAGACTTTCCATTTTATATTTCTTTTATACGCGCGGCACTTACTGTTTAATTCTTTGACCCGTTTTGGGTGTGTACCCAATTATTGGGTACAAATGTTTGTATATCTTCAGCTTTTCAGCATTTTCGAGTTTCACAACCTCACCGCATGTCGACGTCATCATCGTCATCGCTATCGACGTAATGGCAATGGCCCCATGCCCATTGACGTCACAGAATGTGAGCGCGTGGTAACTGCCGCATACATACATATGTACTTTTACACGTGTACATATACATATACGCGTACAAACTTATGTATTATCATACATACATATTTTCGGAGCGCTGGGTACGCTTTTATTAAGATAAAAAAAAAATCAATTATTGTTGTATATGTGTACATATGTATGTATGCACAGACAGTGCAGACAGCAACAACAGCACTAGCAATGAGTGTGTGTGCATACATATACATCTGTATGTGTGTATATATTTATATATATATATGAACATATGTGTATATGTACGAGCAACGGGGCGAGCCCCCAAAACTGGATTTCCAAATGCGGCCACGAGTCCACAAGAAAAATTCTCTACTGCTCTTTTTGCTCAATCGACGCTTGCGCGGTATAACAGTTGAAGGTGACACAGGATGTGTCGTACACTTGTAATACAGTTGCTGTAACACTCTGGTGAAGTGTTGCAATTAGAACAGTTGTTCTACATCTCGAGTGTTTTACCTTTGGATGTTTTTCAAATAAAACCCTACATATGTACGTAGTACTTATATACATACGTATGCCGAAACAATTGAATGAATGGACTGAAGCTAATAAAATATGACTAATAGATAATCGAAAATAAATTTTAATAGTTTTTGAATAGTTAGAAAGTATACATACATATAAATACACACATTGTTTAATTAAAGTATATTTAAAAATTTACATCTTCTAAATGCGGCAAATAAAGGGCAACTCTACATTAAAGGGCATCTTGCTTAGAAGGGAACTCACTCAACGGGTACTCGTATAACAGATTCAACTACTGGCACTCTTCTTTTCCCTACAGCCTCAAATTTGCACTTTAATGGCTCATAAAATGAATCGGCATTATATAAAAGTACTTACATACATACATATGTACGAGTATGTACATAGGTTTGTCTATATGTATGTATAAGCCTTAAGGCTTGCCGCATAAATTTATGCACCTGGACCTGATGGAGGGAAGGGTATACATAGAACTAGGGAGTTTGAATACCAGGCAATAGGAGGCTGTGCAGATCCCATGTGATCAGCAAACCAAGAAGAGTCGATACAAACAAATACATTGGTCGGTCCGTATGCATATCTCTCGAGAGCTTTTGAACACCAAATTAGATATTATGTACATATTTAAAAGTTTTATTAACCGCCAAGGGCATACCCAGGGGGGTGGCAGGGGGACTGCAGCTTTTTCCAAAAGAGGACCCAAACAATTTAAAATTTTAATTTAAATAATGCATCGTGCATTATTAGTTAAAATAGTAATTGATAATCAACATAGAAACTTCAACAAATCCAATTCAGTTCCATTTGTGGTCGTCTTCAGCTTGCGAAATTTGTTTCTACAGATTTAAAGGGCGACATTTTCCGTATATTAGAGTAAAATCTAAACTTAAATCCAATGTTAATAGAACAGAAAATACAGTTTTTGCACAAAAACAGATGTTTATCGCTTGCTTAACGTTTTGAATTTTTGTTTACTATACGTACATATCTACATACTATACATATGTATCTACATACTTACATATGTATGTGCATGAACTCAGATCGATGAAATACAATTTATACATACACGTGTGTATATATAGTATACTACATACATGCATATGTACATATGTTCTGTCGATTTGTATTCCTTGGTTTTCGATCGCGACAAAGGCTTTTTGAGCAATTTCCGCTTGCATCGATACATATATACATGTACATATGCAATAGGGTTATATGTACATATGTATGTATGTATGTGTTTTCGAGATAAGCAAGAAATTTGATTTCTTTGTGGTTATTGTGTTTCAGAAGATAAACATTTTAAACATTGCAGCTGATAAGCTCAACAACAGCAACCTCTACAATACTTGCAGTAAAAGAGGGTGTGTGTTGATCTATATACATACATATGTATGTGTGCACACACGTACACATTTGTACATACTATACATACATATATACGTCAACGAAAACACACATGAAGAAACAACGATATTGGCTTTCAAAAATTTCCACTTATGGCACCTTTGGACTTTGAAGTTAAAGTTCGCTCATTTTAACACATTTGGGGAATGTACAATTTATTATTTGAAATTCTGTTTGTTGTTTTAAGGATATATGTACATATGTAGATGTATGTATGTATATATGTAGATGTATGTATGTACATATGTAGATGTAAATATACATATGTAAATATACATATGTACATAAAAACATGCATATATACGTATATATACGCATATACATACATATGTAAATGGTTAAAGTTACACTTCGAATCAAAGCTCATCGAATCGAATAGCTTGTATGTATGTAGATAATAAAAAATATAATAAAAATGAATTGAATTCCATTAAAATTAATTTATGTGGGTTTTTTTTCTTAGTGTAATTTGAATGCAATTGTTTGTTGTAAGCCAAAAAAGCACGTGCAATTTAATTTGTGAATTACAAAATAGACAAATGTTGTAAGCAAGTGGCCAAGTAGCAAGATTAATGAGGGTCAACAAATTAACCGCCAACCAAGCATACAAACATACATATGTATGTACATATCTACATACTTACATATGTATGTACATACTATACATAAACACATATGTATGTATGTACATATTTACATATTTGCGCGCGTCATAGAGGCCAAGCAGCGATCGTGAGTAATGACAGGAAAACAAGAGAGGCAGTAATTGTGGCAGCGGATAAGTAACCAAGTTTGTGTGCAAATGTATAACAGTTAATAAGCAGTTAGTAGGAAACACATTCCTGGTATTGTGAGCAAGTAGACAAAAGCTGTACATACATACATATGCATGAACATACATATGTATGTACACACAGATTTGTATGTATTTGTACGTTTTTATCTTCGTACATACACACATGCATATGTATGTTCAACATACATACATACAAACTTGTAATTACATTAAACATCAGTCGAGCCTCTTAAAACAACAACAGCGGCGATAAAAGCACACGCCCATTTACGGTTTATTAATACAAAAAAAGTGAAACTAAACTGTAAAAAGACATACATATCTTACTAATGCCAAGGACTTTGTACTCGTACAGTTAAAAATAGAGGCTTAGTAAATATCGCAAAGCATTTATGAAATTCAACCACAACAACAAAAAAACCAATAAAAATGTACAACAACAGCAGCAACCAAATTCCATTGAACTGCCAAATGATGGAACGAGCGTGCGGGGACAAGAGTAGAACGATGGCAAGAGTCGATGGTGCAGTGGTGCGAGCGTGCAAATGAGTGTTGGTTACAAGTGCACACATACACAAGCACATGTATATGAATGTACATGTATATGAATGTACATGACCAGAAATTTGTACAACAGTATTTGAGACGAGCCCCACACAGCCCCAAAAGGCGTCGACTCTGAATCCAAAAGCCACAAGCGCACATACATATGTACGCAAATATGTATGTATGTATGTATATTCGAGGGGAGGCTGAAGAGTAAACGGCCTAGACAAAAAAAGCACAATCACCTCTTGGTATTCATATTCTCTTAGCCCTTAAGCTCGACAAGTTTCGATGCGCTTCTACTCCGCCTTTATTAGTTCTTGTTCATAGCTCCCGTAACGCTTGGAAATCACACCACTTTAATTCGCATGTAAAGTTTCTTTGTGCAAGATAAACTCGAATGGAAGTTATACCCATAAATACGCTCACTGGCAATAAAAATGTTGTACACACAAATGTATCTACATATTATTTGATTTATGATTTGTATTTAATTTATGGTAATTTTAAAAGTTTATTTAAATTTAAAAAAAAGTGCAATAAAATGCTAATCTTATTCTTGTTATTATTTATGTATATCTCTTTCTTTAAAGCCAACATAGAAAGATACCTATTAATTTTACTACAATCAGCTGATTGTGAATTAACATCGAGGGTTATTTGTTTTTTAAATAAGCCGTATATTTTTCAACCAGTCTACGCACAAAGTATGTATCTATACAAATACTTACATATGTATGTATGTATATTGAATCAGCTATGCAAACGTGTTTCGCATGGAATACAGCGGTTGAGTTGAAAACTGTTATACGGGGAGAGCGTAAACAATGGCAATGGGAACTACCAACAACGGCTAGGCCAAAAACGGACGACAACATCGACATTTTCATACGCTGCAAAGATATTTACGCATGTAGCGTTTTTAACATTTCATTTCTTTAATTTATCCCTAGCAATTTATAAAGATACGTAATCCGAATTCGATTAATTTATTTGAAACCACTTAAATTAAAAACAATTAAATGATTATTAATTTTAATTGTTCTATACGTTTTAAGTTAAAAAATATACTTATTGTTATTGGAAAGGGCAGCAGTCATGAATATAAGTAAGTGAATATGTTATAACAATGGAACTGGGAGAAAGGAATACTATTTGTCTGTGCAACTTTTGATATCAATTCCTTTTCACAGTAACTAAGTCAGTTTATACTTATGTTTAAAGTGTTTAATTGGCAAAGTACCCTATGTTTTATACATATATGCATGTTATACATATGTATATAATGTTAACATTTTTGTAATAATGCTCTTGCGAATAAACTGAGCAATTTCAAGATTGGCAGTAAAACTAAAACAGCCTACACTGCAGGGTATCGCAATCCGCTTGATGGTGACGAGAGAAAGCTGCGGTACACACACAAGCACATGGGCGAGACCTCTAACAAATGAGAGATAGGTAGAGAGAAAAAGAGCTAGTGCTTGCTTTGATGACGTTTATAGGGAAATAACTTTTGGCACGCTCTGTAAACTCTGTAAACCAACACTCGCGCTGTATATCTCTTCTCCCCTTAACAATTACGAACTGTCATACGCTCTCTCCGCGTTGTGTTTTATGCTCGCATGTATATCTCTGGGAGAGTCGCAAAGCACTAATTGTCAATTTTGACCTTCAAGGTTCCTTCAAAGTACACGATGTATGTATGGGCCTGTATGTGCACAGTCACGCACACACGCACAGCGATAGTCGCTCAGACATAGCAAGGGAGCGGGGCAGCAGAGAGACTACTCAGCGACGTCAGCGGCAGCAGCGTAAAGCCAGTGCTGAGCGGCGAATGAATTTGATTCCGTAACAAACGTTTCAAAGCAACGGACGCGTGCAGCGGATAAAAATACAACGCTTCGAGCGACGAACCCACATCACACAAAACACTGAAAGAAAATATAAACAAAATTTTAACAAAAATAACACCGTCAATGCTACCGCCTGCGTCTCACAATTAAACTTAATCTTGCGGCACAAAAAAAAAACCAATTTTGCATGCATACATACAAATGTATAACAAATCGTAGTCCCATAATAAATAGTGCAGTTATCCTTGCCTATTTGTGTCAACGTGCCGCGAAAGCATTTTCTTTATCAAGTAATTGGTAAACGTCGAACCGCAGCCAGACACTGAGCATTAAAGACTAAAGTCGATCAGCAATAAAATAAGACGTGAGTGCATTTTTTTTAAATTGTTTAATAACACCGCCCAACTGCCAAAAACGAAAAGTCAAAAGAAAATACAAATATTCTCGGCTGGCCGCAGAACAGTGTAACAAAACAAAAGTGCAAGAGAGAAAATACATTGCAACTGCAAAAACAACACAAACAACAATTAGAATGGATCAAGAGCTGAGCGGCACAATGCGCAGCATTTCTATAAATAGCAATGGTACCACAAAACAGCAACAACAGTTGAATGGCCACAGCATGAAAACTGCAGTCAGCTGCGGCACAGACGAGATCGACAATGTACGGCGGGTTACTGCAACAATTGGCGGCGACGTTGACGTTGCCAAAACTACAAATGCAAGCAAAACGCCAGCATCAGCAGCGACAACAACACCATCACCATCACTAATACAACAACAGCAGCTGCAGCAGTCGTTGCCGTCGTATGCGAGTGCAAGCGTTGCGGAGAAAAAGAAAATGGTTCACGAGTTATGTCAGCAATTGTTGCTAACGGACGAACAGGTGCATGAATTATGCTATCGCATACTCCACGAAGTGCGCCGTGGGCTTGCCAAGGACACGCACCCCAAGGCCAATGTGAAGTGCTTTGTAACCTATGTGCAGGACCTGCCCAATGGCAATGAGCGTGGCAAATTCCTGGCTCTCGATTTGGGTGGCACCAATTTTCGCGTCTTGCTGATACATCTGCAGGAGAACCATGATTTCCAAATGGAGTCCCGAATCTATGCGATACCGCAGCACATCATGATCGGTTCGGGCATCCAGCTCTTCGATCACATTGCTGAATGCCTCTCTAATTTCATGGCCGATCATAACGTGTATGCGGAGCGTTTGCCATTGGGCTTCACCTTCTCGTTCCCATTACGTCAGCTGGGTCTGACCAAGGGTCTGCTGGAGACCTGGACGAAGGGCTTCAATTGCGCCGGAGTCGTAAACGAGGACGTTGTTCAGTTGCTAAAAGATGCTATAGCGCGCCGCGGAGATGTGCAAATCGATGTCTGCGCCATTCTGAACGACACGACAGGCACACTCATGTCTTGCGCCTGGAAGAATCACAGCTGCAAAATCGGTCTGATTGTGGGCACGGGCTCAAATGCCTGCTATGTTGAGCGTGTGGAGGAGGCGGAACTATTCGATGCGCCGGACAACCGTAAGCCCCATGTGCTGATTAATACAGAGTGGGGCGCATTTGGCGATAATGGAGCACTTGATTTTGTACGCACCGAATTCGACGAGGATATTGACACGCACTCGATAAATCCTGGCAAACAGACGTTCGAGAAAATGATCTCGGGCATGTACATGGGCGAGTTGGTGCGCCTCGTAATTGTGAAGATGACGCGCGCTGGTGTTCTCTTCAAAGGGCAAGACTCGGACGTCCTCAATACCCGTGGCCTCTTCTTTACCAAATACGTTAGCGAGATCGAAGCTGATGAGCCAGGAACCTTCACCAACTGCCGCCTGGTATTGGAGGAGCTGGGGCTAAGCAATGCTACCGATGATGATTGTGCAAACGTTCGCTACATATGCGAATGCGTCTCCAAGAGGGCCGCGCATTTGGTATCGGCGGGCATTGCTACGCTCATCAACAAAATGGACGAACCACACGTCACGGTCGGCGTCGATGGCAGCGTCTATCGTTTTCATCCCAAGTTCCACAGTCTGATGGTAGAGAAAATAACGCAGCTAATTAAGCCGGGAATCACGTTCGATCTCATGCTCTCCGAGGATGGTTCCGGGCGTGGTGCAGCCCTGGTGGCGGCCGTCGCCTGTCGAGAGGATGTACTCAATAGCAAGTAAGCCGAGGCCGGTACATTTGCCCAAGTCTATTGCCCAAGACGTCGCCTAAATCGCCGCCAAGCGGGCCAAGCAGGAGTAAGAGTAGTAGGGGTAAGGGCAGCAGGAGCAGCAGCTGAGTTGCCGCCCAGCGACGTCACCGCTACAAAACGCTACACATACATAAACACACACACGCAACTCAAGTGAAAAAATTACTGAGAGAATAATGATAATGATTCTGCAACAAATATTACAACTAAATTACAAAATTTTAATTAATTATAATAAAATTTAAAAGAAATTGATATAGTTTCCTTGTCGCCGTTGGCCAAGCGGCGCTTTTAGTATTTTAATTATGCAAGTTATAAAATACGAAGCGGCTTTTTTTTAAAATATTTAATGTAGTTTTTTTTTTTAATAAATTAATTGTATGCTTAATTCTATTTATCGATCTTCGATTTTGTTAAAAATTTGTTATTAAATTTATGATTATTATTATATTTTACAAATAATATACATATAAAAAACAACCCACATATGTATGTACAAGTATATATTATTATGTATATGTATAAAAACAAAATGTATATATATATGTATATACATATATATATATATGCACTTTGTTTGTTATTAAAAGGCAAAATGCTAAGTGAAAAATGGCAACAGAAACGCATTTTATTTTCATTAAGTTTATCATTTCAATGTTGAGACAGCATTTGTATACCCACTAGCCAAGAATGCTACTGGAGGACGGCGTTGGTAGTCCTTAGTGTTCACATTTGATATTTTTTTATGCTGAGGAGGAAGAGAGACCACTTCTAACTTTGTCGAATTGAGCACTGTAAACAAATATGGTCTAATTGTTACTTACTTGTATGTGAGATTTTATTTATACTATCGATTGATTTTCGACAGCGTTTGGTGGCAGCGGCGCCACTGAAAAACTTCGGCAAAACTCAAAGTAAAATAAAGAAGAAAAAACATTTTTTTTGTCTATTTTAAACAATTTAGCGGAAGTACGTATAAAAACGAATACAAATGCATATACATATGTAACTAAAAATGCTAATATAAAATAAATCAGAAATGAACTTTTTCAAAGCGCAACAAACTGTTAAAAATTAGAAAAATTAAGCGTGAAAGCAAACAAAAATTCTGTTTTTCGCGAATAAAGTGTATAAACTGATTTAATTGTTGTCATGTTAAACTAGTTATCAATATAATGAAAATCAAACAAACTGAAGAGCAAAAGCCCCTCCCTCTGCGTAGACAGACACACACTAGCATTTTACTGTTATGTTAAACGCGTATTTGCAACATGCTGCGGGCAACAGGCAATACGCAACACATAACAGCTAAGGTGGCTGAGTTCATTATTATAAATAATGTAACTGTTACGCTGTACATACATAATTACATACACACAAGGGACATACATACATACATATGTACTTATATTCAGACGCACAGGCGCCACACACACGAGCAACAATGTTGAATTGATCCTAAGCGAACATGGTCGCACGCTTCATCATCGTAACAGAGTAAACACCTATGCTGGCATATGAGAACAACCAAAACAACAACAACAACAACAACAGCTGAACTGCAGCTATCTGCGAATGACACCAAAAGACATGAACATTTAGTAAACGATGTATAAAGTAATAGCTATGATTAATATTAACAAACTGAAAATGAATCCAAGGACACTAAATAACGATGTATCTCAATCAAGTAAAAAACAAAACCAAACATGATGATAATAATAAAGGAAAAACAAAAACTCAAATTCAAGATTTTGCTTTGCACCACTTTAAGGCGCTTTTCTTGTTCACTTTTCACACACAAAACACAGATAACATGATATCTATCCAATGGGTGTGCCTCTTTCCTGTAGACACAAGACGAAAATATTTTATGTCCCTTCAATTCCGTTATCCAAGCACTGATTCATTTAAGCTACTTAGATCTTTTCTTTATCAGCAACATAATAGCGTAATTCGATCTAGAAAATTAGATAGTCCAAATTACAAAGCCTATCAAAAAGTAGTACATTGAGACTTTTAGGTCCATTCGATGCATACAAATTTCCTCCGGAAAAATGTATAACATCTGCCCCGCCTTTATTTCTCATCCCAAAGTGATTGTTATTCATGAATGAGTAATATTATAACGCACGGGAAAAATTGATTAAGCCCTCGTCAGAAATGAAATTTGTTTGTTGCCTTTTCTTCATCCTGTGGTGAGATGCTTTTTTATACCATATAATTTTCGATAAGCTCCAAATACATATGTATTTGAATTCAATGTGTACAAGAACTCTTTTTTGAGACAGATCATTTCCATGGGCGCTATATACTACTATATGTGTAATAGTTATACGCTCGGTGGTATCATTACGTTCATTGGCCACCCGTATGGGAAAACATCAGATAAAAGGAGGGAATGTATCTTATCTACCACATCGGCCCATACTGCCTCTACTGCGTATATAATGTTCCTATATACAGTTTGGTAGTATTACCATCATTTAAAGTATATTAAGCTCTTTAGAAGAATAACAAGAATGCTACAACCGAAAGCAAGCCAGACAATGAAATACCCTGCACCTAAACAAACTTCCGGGTCGTAGTTATATGCGCCCATAGCAGAAGCAAAAAGAATAAGACGAAGAGAAAACCCTCTCCTGCAGTTTGTGGGCGTAGTACTGGAGTGAAATTGTTTAGCTAATAACTTTCTCAGAATTAGCTGAATGGGATGAAATTTAAGATAGATAGACAGATGCGTGCAAAGTTTGAGTATATAGCTTTGGAAAGATGGCTATTGACGAAATTCTGTAGCACGTGGGTCTACACACCAAGTTTGGTCAATGTAGGCCCAGCCGCTTCAGAAATCAATATAATGTAGGCCTTCTTCCAGGACAGACGGACATGTCTAGATCGATTTAGCCCTTCATGATGATTAAGAATATCTATATTGATGAGATCGGAGATACTTATTTCTTCCTGTTACATACTTCAATACAATTGAACATTTAAAAAAAAAAATTTTGGGAGCAGTTGAGTTGGAAGAGTTTATTGGGTACAGGGTATTTAACGGTTGGAAGAGCCTGGACTGTCGCTTTCCTTCTTACACTTAGAAGGATAGTTTGTATGTAACACACAGAAGGAGGCGTGGCAGATCCTCCAAAGCATATCTGTATAAGGCATAATGAAACAATTTTTACACCCTGATCAGTTTGAAAAGACGAGTCGATATAGCCATGTCCGTCTGTCTATATGAGCGCAAGGATCTCAGCAAGTACAAGAGCTAGAATAACCAAACTAAGCCATAAGCCGTATTCCACAAATTCCGCTAAGCCCTGGGCAGGTCGATTCTATAATTCTTGGAATGTTTGATCGACTTAAGCTTTTCCACTTGTCTTTATTTTATTCATTTTAATTAATTTATTAAATAATTAGGAAATTCTTGTTAGATCTTCTTCATAGAACGGGTAGTACTTATATTCCCAACAATTTGGCGCTTGAAGAAAGTCCTACCGACAAATAATTTTCACGCAAACGCTTGACGAAACTCGCTTACGGGCAAATTCCGAGTTGAGGATCCAGCAAAATCGACAAAGACAATAATATAAATAAATAAATAGAATACAACAAAAAATATAAATTGTTTATGTATAGTATATTGCTAAAATGTGCATTGCTTTTGGTATTATTATTATTGTTGCAAATCGGCCGGAAACTTATATTATTAGAGCAGTTGAAATCGTAATTGAATATCGACATAAATAGGCCTTCAGTTCACAGTCGGCACACAAACGGATGCAACCACCTCTCAGGTGATGTGGTGACTTAAAAAAACCGTTATTTGAGTTGAGTTTGTAATTTTTGATGGTTTTTACTTATGCTGTTAAAAGAAAGCCTTATATATTTGAATTGAATAGGCTTTGTTTTAAAAATGGCTCGAAGCTTTTATATATATACAAGTAAGTATAAGGTGCTTTAATTGAAGTTTGGACCAGTGTACTTCGATTTGAGCAGTGTATTGCCGACAAATTCTATAATCGCATTTTACTGTTCCGATAAACCCATGCAAACAAAAAATGTTGCAACCAGTATGTCCAACAAATCATCAAATTTCTGTGGAAATTTGTTGAGTTTGCCAAAAGCATGATTGACAGACGCTTAATAAAGAATTCTCAAATAGACCTACCTATAGACCGAAATATCAAGAGGCAACGGCACTAGTACGGTCGTAAACATACATAGTAGTATTAAGAAATCTATCTATCTATCTAAATAACCAAATCTTTTAGTTTTACTCGTAGAACAAGGAACCAACATTCTACTTATGTTTCAAAGCTACAATTTATGGAAAATATGATCCATCTAACTAAATAAAACGTTTGGAACGATCAACAAATTTATCCGGAGACTTGAACTCGCTTTTTGGAAGGAACCTATTTCTAAGAAGTTCACACCAATACCGAAAACATTTGCTTATCATCTATTATCTCTAGCATCAAAAACATGGTAATATTCAAGACTAAAGTGTGAAGCATTCAATTAAATTGATTGAAATACACAAGCATTTCGTTAAAATACTAAAATTGTATGCCATAATATGTGTTACGAGTATTATGGACGCAGCGAGGCGGCATCTTCATCCACAAACGGTTAATTGAAGGCAGCATCACTTGCCCGAAATTTTGCGCCGCGTGAGTCGCAATCGGTTTGCGGCAGTTTGCGATGCTCTTGATTGCTTAATTGGTTTGTTTTCGGGGCTGTCAAGTGTTCAAAACCAGCATTTTGATTATCAACACAACTAAAGGAACAAGACGAATGCTGAAGATGCACTCGCCCGACTCTCCAATACACTGCACACACGTACGAGTAAGTTACGAGCATGTATGAAGTTAAAACAATGTTAGTGTTAGTGCTAGTGGTGGCGATTTTGTGATCTTTCCTTTTGGGATTTAGTATTAGTGCTTTAACAATTATTTTCATTAAACAAAGCGTTTCGACTCTTATTTCTCTTAGCTATAATTTATTTAAAACAGCCGGAACGGACCACAATATCCTAGTGGTGTCGATTTTGTGATCTTTCCTTTTGGGATTTAGTAGTAAATAAAGCGATTCGACTCTTATTTCTCTAAGCTATACATAATTTATTTAAAACAGCCGGAACGGACCACAATATCCTAGGGGTCTCGATTTTGTGATCTTTCTTTTTGGGATTTAGTTTTAGTGCTTTAACAATTATTTTCATTATACGAATCGATTGGACACTTATTTCTCTTGGTGTCGTGTCGATTTTATGATCTTTCCTTTTGGGATTTAGATTAGTGCTTTAACAATTATTTTCGTTAATCAAAGCGATTCGACTCTTATTTCTCTTAGGTAAAATTTATTTAAAACAGCCGGAACGGAGCACAATATCCTAG